TAGTAATGAGTATAGTAGTAGCCATGGTACCAGAAGTTGTAGTGCTGGTAGCACGAATAGCAGTACTAGTAGTAGTAGTCGTTGTTGTAGTAGTTGTAGTAGTCGGCGTCGCTTCAGTAGAAGTAATATTATTTAAAGCAGTAGGCGTAGTAGTAGAAGCAGGAAAGAATAGTAGTGGTTGTAGTAGTAGGAGTAGAAGTAGTAGTAGTAGTAGTAGTAGTAGTAGTAGTAGTAGTAGCTGTAGCAGTAGTAGTCGTAGCAGAAGTCGTAGCAGTAGGTTGAAGTGGTATTAATTTTCGTAGTATTGACCTCAAAAGTTGGTCCTCCTGCAGCCCTCGAGAGTTGGCCCTTCTAGGGCTTATTTGGGCGCCAAGAAAAGTCAATAAGGGCCCCAGGAGGGCTCCAAGAAGGCCCCAAGCGGGCGTTAAGAGTGGCCCAAAGCGAACTCAAGAAGGCCCCCAAAGCGCCCCCTTTCCCTAAGGATTTTTCAGGACTCCCATGGATTCGCAAATATTCCTAAGGATCCCAAGGAATCCCAAGGACCCTAAGGAATCCTAAGGATCCTAAGGGATCCTAAGGAATCAGAAGGAATCAGAAGGAATCGAAGTACTTCTGAAGAAGGATGAAGCACTTCTGAAGAAGAAAGAAGTACTCCTGAAGAAGAAAGAAGTACTTCTGAAGATCCCATGGTTGTAACTGGTCCCATTTATGGTTGCAATTCGCTCCGAACGGTTGGAATTGGGACCAGTCAGTTGTAATTCGTCCCATTTCGGGGGGAGGGGCGCAGGGAGGAGGAGGGAGGGGGGTTTAGGGAGAGAGGGAGGAGGGGTAGGGGAGAGAGGCAGGCCGGAGAAACGCGAGGAGCCACAACCACAGATGGCCCCTCCTCCTCTTCCTCCTCCTCCTCCTCCGCCTCCTCGCGATCCGTCTGGCCCCTATGGGCCGCCAGGCATAGCAGAAAACCGAAACCCCGACACAAACTGAATACATAGTTTCTCTGATACGACGCCAAAGAGAGTGTGTGTGTGTGTGCGTGTGTGCGTGTATGTGTGTGTGTGTGTGTGTGTGTGTGTCCCGCCTGGCCCCGCCCTGAGCGGGCCCGGCTTCTGTCTCCATCCTTCCCGCGCGGGGCGTTCCCACTGCTCCTCTCGTGCATTGCGGCGTAATTCGCATTTGTACGCCCTGCATTTGCTCCATCCGCCAGCGCAGTACTCTGCCTAGCCGCCGACGTAAAATGTGTGTGTGTGTGGGTGTGCGTCTGTGTGTGCGCGCGCGTGTCTGTGTGTGTTGTGTGTGTGCGTGTGTGTGTGTGTGTGTCTGTGTGTGTGCGTGCGTGTGCGTGTGTGCATGTGTGCGTGTGTGGATAAGTGGTAAACACACTTTTCGGCGATCGCGGCTTCTCGCGCAGCGACGACGCGGAGAAAGTCCCTTGGCAGCTGGGGCGCGCGCGCGGCCGGCCCCTCAGAGGGATGGGTAGAGATCCAAAAGGGATCGGCCATGGCATGTGCTTGCCCGGGCATTGGGCAGCGAGGGTGACGGGGTTCGGGGTAGAGCATGCCAGAGAGAAGCAGGCAAGTGCGCGCACGCACACACGCACACACACACACACACGCACATTCTGTAATCCCGAGTGTGGTAATCACACGCGGAGGCGTCGGATACACACAGGGACGTCCTCGGGGAACAGGGTAGCACGCCTAAGAAGTAATTGCGGACGGGGCAGGATCGTGGCAGTCGCTTGCGCTGATGCGGAACATATGACCAACAAGTTCTGACACCCTGAGTGCGAAAACCGTACGCGGAGGGGGCGGATTGCCACAAGGTCGTTCTCAGGGAAAGTGGAGTAGTTGTCCGAATGTGTTGTTGAAGTGGGGGCAGGAATGTGGCAGGTGCAGGGGCGAGAGTGCCTGTCGAAACGACCGACAGCATTCCGTTCAGAAACCAAACACGGAGTCTGAAATCCTGAGTGTGGAAAGATGTCTGGGGACGGGATGGATGGATACCACGGAACGTCCTCGGGGGAGAGGGGAGACTATGGATCCTGTTTTTTTTTACCCGAAGGGGGCAGGGGTGCCCTGCGATTGTTCCGCAAGCGAGAATTGGCATTGCCGTGTGGCTCGAGAGGCGTCTCCAGAGTCTTCAATCGTCGTTTTTCTTTCAACTCCTCCTGCAGAGTCCCTGGGGCCGTTCGGGAACATTCGGTCTGGATGCTCCTCGAGGCCATTCGGGGTCTTGATTTTTCTGGAGGCTCGCCTGAAAACATTCGGACGTTTGAGTATTTGACGCTGAATGCTGAGCTCCAGGACGTTTAACAGCGAAACGTGTTTCCACACAGATGCTGCGTGCGTCAGGGAGGGAATGGCCTCCAATGCCCGATTCCCAGGGGTGCGCACATCCAGAATTCATCGCCACACCCCTCCTCCAGCTTCTGCAGCCCGCAGGGTCATCTGTCGAACACCTCGTGACCCCTGACCTCCTATGTCGTGCGTGCGGCAGGAGGAGAGGTGCACAGTGGTCATTAAGTTGTGCAGGAGATTGAAGTGGGACGCTTCTCAAGGACCTCGTGTCTATGTATCTGCGCTTCCCTTCCTGGTCATCTTCTCAGTATCCTCCAGCCTCCTGGCAACGGCAGGGCGCCGCGGGACAGTCCAGGGGACAGCGCAGAGCTAGGCTGAAGTCTCTGTAGCGTAGCGCACTGACGGGCAAAGTTGCGACACGAAGCAGGACAGCTCGTGTGTCCTGGAGTCATCCCGCTCGCATTTGCCCTAAGAAGTCCAATTCGGGCATCAAGGGTCCTTTGCAGAGGTTCCAGCCTCAGAAGAAGGGGCAACATGACGAGGAATGGGGCCAACATTGCCGTGTGGGGTCTCAACGTGGTTGAACCTTCAAAACGGAACGTTCAAGTTGTGTCATTTATGCAGGTCTTCTCGCCCTTCCTCCGATGTCCTCTCTGTTCCCTCCTCCAATCAGGGATGAGAAGCAGGAACATGCACGCTCGTGCTGAATTACAGCTCGGCATCTGTGCAGACGCCGGGGGAGGGGAGGGGGGAGCTTGTGTGCCCAAGGGGTCGGCTTGCTCCCTGTGTTTCGGGTGTTGAGGCCGCGCCCAGGGAATGCCCCATCCGTCGAGGTCGATATGCATGACATCGATGGCTGCCAGCGCGTAAACCCAAGGGATATCCACGAAAGTTCGCGTGCCTTCCTGGAGATTGTTTTTGCCCGGCCTCTGGGCCAGAACGCGCGTTATGCCTCCTCCCCCCCCATAATGTAACGCTCCCTCCCTCAGTGCGTCCCTGGCACTGCCGCAGTGCGTCTGGTATCACAGTCTCGGGGGGGGGGGTGCGTTGCGTTATGCCCCCCTGTCCCCCTCTTCCCCCCCTTCTCCCTCCCCCCCATAACGACCGCTATCGCCGTGAATTGAAACATGCGCTCCTGCTCGCCTGCCTTCCCACCGCTCAGTCGGTAGGGCGCGCCAGTGCCAGCCTTCGCAGGCCAAGCAGTTGCGGGAGGAGTCCGACCACTGCGCCAACGTGGTGCGGGCGCTCGCGGGCAGCACGCTCTTGCTGGTCGCGGCCTCGTGTAGCGCACGGCGGGGCGCCAAGCAATCACAGCGCAAGCTCCTTTCTCCGAATCTCAAGCGTTTGAAGTTCGAAGGTCGCCTCGCCAGCTTACCTGTGTTTGTGGGTGCTCCAGCTTTGGGGTTCTCCACGTGAGTTTGGATAGGTTTGAGGATGTTCAGGAAGGGTGCGGTGCCCAAAGCGCCATCAACCGTGTTCAGGCACGTTTCAAATGCAGGTCGTTACGTTTCGAAATTGTTTATGTATTGGAGTTTTTCGTGCGTTGCACGTTTTTTGTGCACTGCGTTCGGTTGCTTCAGCTTGATTATGCTTGAGTTTCGGAATCCTTGCGTCAGTCGAGAGTGGTTTGGGAAGGTTCAGCAAAGGTGTTGAGCCAAATCGCCAACGGCCACGACGCGGAGGGGGAATAGCTCGAAGAGGGAAGGATGATAACGGAAAGAGGGACCCGGATCTGCAATCGTACCAGTGGTGCCACTTGGTCTTGAACTCGGTTCCGCCATTACTCCATGGGGCAGAGGGGGGAGGCAAGTGAGCAGAGGAAGAGGCCGGCTACCAGGTAACTAATCCTTGAATTTGCGTGCAATTATTCGCTCGGAGTGCCACGCCCCGTGTGCCTCTCTGCACAGCCGTGAAGCACCGTCGAGATCACACGTGTGCCTTGCGTGCCTCCACCCATCTCTAAGGCACATCTCGCCCACCCCGTTTCCTGTCGTGCTGACAGCCGCGCGATAGGGGAGCTATAGCCACGTGCGGGGAGCAACGTTCTACGTCTCCCCCGAGTTGGCCCCAAAATGGAATCTCTTCTGGCCGCACTCCACTCAGCAGCACGTCCCCTATCGCGCCCTTCCCCCCCGAGATGCCCGGCTCGAATCCAGCCGATGCCCCCAACAATCGTTCGCAGTCTTGTTGGTCTGATTCCAGTATTTGCAATGTGTTCAACAAGCGGCGTGCTTCGAGCAAGGCCCCCTTCTAGACTAGACAGATTGCGATATTTCCGCGTTGGTGCAGTGCTGCGCGCGAGCAAGACAGTTAGAGGTCAAGCTTCCGAGGATGAAGCGGAAGCAGCTGCGTCCTGCCTCTCCATCTTTACAGCTCCACCCTGCCCAAGGGCTCCCTCTTGATCCTGTTTGGCGTCTGAGCCCACTCGGCCTCCGAATATCGGCGGCGAGCCTGGCGGGGAAGTGGGAAGTGGCGGCCTTCTCAGAAGGCTCGGAGGTCTACGGGCCTTCTGAGAAGTGTTCCACGCCTTCCCCGAAGACACAGAGAAGCCCCGACGCTTTCTGAGGAGCCCTCCTCCCCCTCGCTCCCCCGCCCCCCTCGCTCGCCGTCGCCAGTGGGCAGCGGCGTGGGCCGACTCCCGGCAGGGCGGCCGGGCTCCTTGGCCCGCTCGGCGGCCAGAGTCGGCCCTGCTCTCCGGCTCGGGTGCCGAAGGGGCTCGGAGGGCGACCCCCTGGGGGGACGCGGCGGGCCCTCGCAGCGCGGAGGTCTCCCGGGGGTGGGGCCGGTTCGGCTCAGTGTATCGCTTCGGCGATCCCTGTCCCCATCTCTCACCAGAGAAGGAAGAGCCACCACCACCAGCTAGGGGGGCCTTTGGGAACGGGGTTATATGGAGTTCTGGTGGTGGTGGCGGCTCTTTTTGCTTCGTGCCGCTACATTTCGCCCATTGTGCCCTTTTTGGGCCTCCTCGGAGGTCCTCCTCCTCGTCGTCACCGTTGGATTCGCCCCGACATTCTGGTTAGAACGCACCCTGGGAGACGTCATGGGAGAAGCGGTATCGGTACCTTCTTGGTCTCCCCAATCTCCATCCCCATTCCAGCCTCCACCGTCTCAGCACCCCAGCTGTGGACATACCCCTCGAAGCTCGAAGGACACGGCCGGTATCCCAATCTGGCGGACTCCAGAAACCCTGAACCCAAAAATGCTGTCATCTCTTGGGTGTGCATTGTTTACTTTCGCCGACCTGCCGCTGCTCTTCCGCCGGCTTCCGCCAGTGGAGGTGGCCTCGGTTTCTTTCCGCCGACCTTCCGCCGCCCTTCCGCCGCCTTCCACCGAGAAGAGATGACAACTCCTTCGACCCTCGAAGGCAAGGCCATGTCTGGAACGCCTCATCTAGGGGGGGCAGATCGGCCAGTGGGGCCAAGTCCACGCCGATGGGGATAAGGGTCGGGTATACGATACTTTGGGCTAGGTCGGGCATGTTTTCCTACAGGCGGTATTAGAAAGAAAAATGGTACACAGCCAAACAATATTCCTTGCACGATAATACGAGTACGAAAAATCATAATCGTTTTTTGTTTTGGCCATTCTTGAACACTCTCCCTGTAGAGGGACATGCCCGACTTGAGCTCGGGAAGGAGTGGGCGGCTCAGCCGTGTCCTGAGGCTCGCGCGCGGCCGCCTGGTATCTCCCCCCGTGCCCCCAGCGCGGCGGCCGCCGTCGGATCCAATTGTTCGAGTTCGAGCGCTATCCTTAAATCGGGGATGCTCTTCTACAGGAGGAATATTCAAGAGTAGTGAAAAATAGTCTGGAGACGATGTTCTGTGTTTTTGCATACCATGTTTGATTATATGTTGACTAGTCGCTATGATTACACAATATTATTATGCAACAAATCGCCTGTAGAAGGACATGCCCGACCTAACGCTATCTGTGAATGACCCCCCTAATTACCTCTCCTACCCTTTCCTGTGCCCGCTGGCCCTTTCGGCTCGCAGGTATAACTGTTGACACACTCTGTCTGTTGGATTGGTTAAAATCAAGAGTAGAAAAACACGCAGACACAATCAATCGTCGGTTCCCAGGAAAGAAAGGGAAAACATGGGAAGTGAGGGGGAAGGCGAGACACTAGAACATATGATCAAATATGGGGAATCCGGGGCCCTGTGTGTATTTATTCATGTGTCCCTGGGCCCGTTCATAAAAGGGTAGAACATTTACCATCGTCCTTGATTTATCGTTACCGCCTATACCAACAGTTACTCTGGAGGGGATCGGCCCTTCGGTCAGCCCTTCCCTCACAAACTATCTTCGAGTCCGTTGGTCGCTCTCGGGCTTCTGGATCACCCTTGAGACTACCCAGCATTGTTGCCACTCTCTTCGTCTGTCCTGCCCTTTCTATTTTTCGCCCCTGTAGTCATCCACGTCTCCCTTCTGATCCTCCTCCCTCCCTCCAGCATCCTACTTCTACCCCTCATTCTTGTCATCCTGTCCCTCCTGCCACCCGACGTCCTTTAGATTCCCTCCTCATCCTCCTATCCATCCTCACCGTCCTACCTCACTTCGTGCTGCTGCTGCTGCTGATGCTCCTCATCTGTTTTCCTCGTGGTCATCCTTCCTCTTTCCGTCCCTGTCTCTCGCTGCGTCAAAGCAGAGGCGTGACAGCACGGCCACAATTTCTCTGAACTTTGTGGTCTTCTGCTGGTACCTTCTTGCTTCCTCTCATTGCCTGGTTCCAGGCCAGACCGCATCGAGATTGGCATTGCATCCGCCACCGAGGCCAAACTCAGGGGACGGAGCCGTGACACCACAAGCGACACAGGGCATAGGGATCAAAACGAGGCAGCATAGATCCCAGAAAAACGCATCGCAGTCAAGTCAGACTTCAGCGGTGGCAGGCACGAGGGACCCACCAGAGGCCCGACCAGAACGGAGCCAGGAACCCGACCAAGCGCGAGCAGCTTGCGGGACCTGCGTGGGCGCCGGAGTCGACGCGTTCTGGGCGCCACACAAAGAGAGGTAGACGGTGTCATTCTCGCCACAAGCAAGGCCGTTGAGCCTGCGCGGCCAGCACAACAGTCCGCAGGCGCTGCAATGCTGCCCGTGGCACCCACGCCACGAAACAGCACGAGCCTCCGTGCCGAGGAGGACACGGAAGAGACCTGAAAGCGTGGAGCATGGCGAGGCCTCAGGAGAGACTCCAGGCGTGCCAAAGAGGACCGTTGCTTCGGGTCAAGAGTTTCTCATACTGGTCGCTGGTCGCTGTGCGCAGAGCAACCGGGACGTTGTTTGTCAGATCCCGACCCGCCCTCCCCCCCCCAGCCGATCATGACGCGGTGGCTGAGATGGCGCCGACTCCTCCCTGCGGAGTGCGGCCGCCCATTGGTGAAGTTTAGCGGAAGTTGCCAGGGCAACAGCTGCCTCATCCACTTGAGGATCCTCGTCGGCGGCGGGCACGTTGGAGGCACAGGCGCAAAAAAGGTCCCAGAAGTTCTCTTTCAGGTCCCCCCAGAGGCCTGAAGCTCAGGATGTTGTATTACACGTGCATCCTTGAGCCTCGATCTTCCTCCTCCGCCTCCTCCTCCTCGTCTTCTCGATCATCCACCTCCCTTCCCGCATGTCAGGGATCTTTGACCTCATGTCCTACCTCATGGTGTCCCCGCATCCTGTCACAATCCCCATGCTCTCCCCGATCTCACGCCTCCCTTCCCGCAGGTCATCCGCCTCATGCTGGCAGACGAGCGCAAGGGAATCCCCTGGCACCACCCCGCACCCGAGCCGGGCGTCGGGCCGTGGCCCGGTTCTGCGCAGCAGGCGCCTTGCCGAGGAGGTCCGAGTCGGTCGTCGTCGTCGTCTTCGTTGTCGTCGTCTGTTTCGTCGTCGTTATCGTCGTCTGTTGCGTCGTCGTCGTCGTATGTTTCGTCGTCGTCGTCGTCTGTTTCGTCGTCTTGCTCGTAGCTTTCGTCGTCGCTTCGGAGGAGAATGGGTATAGGAGGAGGAGGAGGAGAAGGAGGAGGAGGGGAAGGAGAAGGGCGATAACGAGGATGAGGGGAGGATGAGAAGGATGTGTACAGGGGAATGAGAAGGAGGGGAATGAGAGAATAAAGTGGGAGGATGACCAGGAGGATGACGATGGGGAGAGGACGAGAGATGAGGGGCAGGAGTGGGGATGATGGAGGAGATGGACGGAGAGGTGGGAGGAATAGGAAGAAGGAAGATATGGAATGCCTCTATGGTGCAGCTGAGGCGCGCCATATGCCGCAAGCTATACTTACGATATAACCTATGGCGCAACTTACAGCCCAACTGATCGCGCAACCCATTGCGCAACGTTTGGCGCAGCCTACGGCGCACTCGACGACGACGACGATGACGACGACGAGGCCACAGCCGAGGAGCACGCAGGCAGGACTCCAAGTAGTTCCCCAGCAATGCTCCTGTGGGACTTCTTACGCTCAGCATCCACGGCCGCCTTCACTCGTGCACGGCAAGTGCCAGCGGGATCGGCGTCAAGTTAAGGCGCCAGGTCCGTTGTCGGTTGGGGGGCGTCAGGTTAGGTGCCCTGGCGTTAGGTTAGAGGGCGGGTGCGAATAGGGGGGAGGAAGAGGACGCGGCGCAGTGACTGGGGGGAGAGGGGCAACGAGGATTGTAGTTGATTTGCGCGCATAGCCGTGTTCGGCATGTCCTTTGCCGGTGGGTGGCGCCTCAGTGATGATTTCGTGCTTTGCGTATTCCAGCGTTTGATTCTAACGTCGCCGTTCTCTTGAACAACGTTTTGGTTCAAGATGCTTTCCTAGCACAAACAAGTTGCGATACATCTATACACACATGTACACACATATATATATATATATATATATATATATATGTATATATATTTATATGTGTGTGTTGATACATATGCATGTATAGCCACTTGCTCAGGAGTCAGGACAAACCGGCGTGATCGGTTTGGAAAGACCGCCTCTTTCAGGGCGTTGCAATTGAAAACGGAAAGGGTGATAATTCGACATTCCCCCCCTTAAATGGAGATCTGATTTCAGACCCCCCTTTCTAAGGGTAGTGGGGCGAAACGCCCCCCTCCCCCATTCCCCCTATGCTCCTGAGAAGGCGTGGACGCACACACACACACACACACACACCATGTGGTTGCGGAGGAGAATGGAGCGAAATGCGCTCTGTCGCGTGGAAGGGGTTCGAAACAGGGTTAGGGTAAGAGGTAAGGGATCAAGCCCCCAAGGCGAGCGCCACAGGCCTGTATGTCCCGTTCCCACACGTCCCCCAAACATGCAAGTATCACCCAGGACTCCGCACAGGCAGCGGTCGCCATCCGATGACCAGTCACTGGTGCTGACTATCTGGTGTGTGGGCGTCAGGTTCACCACTCGAGCGATGAGGAACGGTGCAACACGCGCGCCAGTTGCGTCGGGTGCCCCGCAAGTTGCCCCCCGGGCGCGCCAGATGAACCGCGTGCGCGACGCTCGCGGAGTTCGCCACGTGCGCCAGTGCAGGTGACAGCACACGGTGAGCAAAGTTTCGACACCCCCGCCGCTCTTGCAGAAACGTTGTTTCAACTTAGCCGCGGAGTGGTCAGCATGGTGTACAATAATGCGTGCACCCGCAAGCCCGTCGCATCGGGGCGAGCGCACAGCGGAAAATACCCAATCCACCGCTATCCTTGACACAGGTCACCGCAACATGACGGTGGGGTGGCATAGCCGTGCATGGCATGCAAGCGCCCACGGGCGCCTCTCGGATCAAAGGCATTGCCTGGAGCATCGGGCAGCGCAGCCTCAGTGGCGTCACCGTGTAACAGATGGCCTTGCACTCTCTCGCGCCAGCTATTGAACTGGAGAAGCCCCCGCCTCGTCCTGCTCGCCATCCTGTCCTGATGCTGTCGACCCAGTTGTGCGTCAGGTTGATATGACACCACATCCCTCCGCGAAACTGAAGGCAAGTGCTACCGACCCCCTTTGCCCCGCAAATTTAATGTTCAGAGGTACGGCGCGGCGAGGCCTGCGGACGCAATCGAAAAAACATGAAGGCATTGGTTCTGGCATCCGCATTGAAGTGTGTGTGTAGGTTTTCGGGCGGTGGCACTGCGTGGGCAAATTGTGCTGAACGTTTCGCAGAGGGATGCATGTTTCGGTTTCCTGACCGCTTATGAGGATCGTGCTGCGTTCAGGGTTCGGCCGCCTCCGAGTTCGGATGATGCATCTGTTGGGTCTCTTGATCGTGCAGTTTCAGGTGGGACGCCTCTTCTCTCCCATCCTGATTCCGTATGCTGACTGACATCCCTGAATCGCGAAACATGGTTTTTAAATTGACTCGCTACAGTACCATGATGCAAAGTATGCCGGCTCATGAGCTCAGAGACCAGTGGTATCGTGCCGTTTGAACAGTCTCATAGTGTCTGTTGGCATCGCAACCTCCTCTGCTGTTTGCGTCCCTCCCTTCTCCTCGCCTCCCGCCGGCGTGGCAAAAACCATACCTCACTCCTCGAGGGACAATTTCGGTGTGTTATGGGGGTGCTAATATATATATATATATATATATATATATAATATGTATATATATATATATATTGTCTACCTGGGCCCCCTCGCGGAGGCTCTCCTTTTTTTTGGGGGGGGACCCCTTCCGTGCGCGAGGTGCCTCCAGCACAGGGGTCTGCGGTGCTTGTTGCTTCCGTGCGCGGCTGTGCCCGTCGTCGTGTAGTTGTTTTCCTCTCTCCTGTGCTGGGTTGCGGGGATGCCTGCCCCCGGCGGTCGTCTCACTCGTCGGTGACCGCGGAGACCCGTCCTCGGACCTCACGGTCCCGCAGGGCGTTGTCCCGTCATTTAGAGGCCCCAGCCTTGAGGCGAGCTCCAATGGCAGGCTCGCTGCTCCAGGATGCCTTGCGACGATCGCCGCGTATCATTGACAATGGGCGCTTGTGCTCAGATGTGACCGTGCCCAGCGCACGGCCCAGTTGACCACGGAGGGTGCTCATAGTGATCCGAGTCGAGTCGAGCTTTTTCCTCCCTCTATCGCCCTTCTCCTCATCATTCGTTCTCCCTGCCCACCCTTTCATCTAATGGCCTTCTGCCCATCCCGCCAACGTGCCTGGGTTGAGGGTCGTAGGCCTCTAGGATGTCCGTTGGGATGTCGCGGGAGGCCTCTCGGGGGCCTCGCGAAGGCAGTTTGAGGCCTCTTGGGGGCTGGTTGGGGACCTCTTGGGGCGTCTTGGGGGCCTCCTGGGAGCTCTGGGGGCCTTTTGGGGGCCTCTTGGTGGCCTCTTGGGGCCTCCTCGGGGCATCCTTGGACTAAGTCTCGAATTGTCGATTCGAGCTCCCACTCTTGGGCCCCTCTTGGAGCCGTCTTGGGGCTCTCTTGGGCCGTCTTGGGCTCCTCTTGGGCCGTTTTGGGGCCCGCTTGGGCCGTTTTGGTGCCCTCTTTGGGGGCCTCTGGGGCCGTCTTGGGGCGGTCTTGCGTGGTTCTTGGGGCGTCTTGGAGCGTCAGAAGCTCGAACAGCCGAGAACCCTCCAACATTGGAAAACATTAGAGATCATCGATTTTGGCCTCTCGGGGTCCGCTTGGAAAGGCTCTTTGAGCTCTTTTGGAGCGTCTCGAAGGCATCTTGGGCCATCATGGAGCCACTTTGAGCATGTTGGATCCATCGTGTCGCGATCCGGAGCGCCCTTGGACCGTCTGGGCGGGCTACTTGATGTCTCTTGGCCCCTCTTGGGCCCAAAACAGTCATGCGCCACCGCTGTGGGGAGCCCAGGGGAGTCGCGCCAAGCAGCCCCAGGGGAATCGAGAGTTTGGGATCCGGGTCCCTTCACAGACTCCTCAGGAGTGAGAACTGACGCTCAGGGGATCATGCAAGGGACCTGAGGACACCCTAACTCGTGCCGGAGGGCACGCTGGCGGATCTTCTTCATATTACTTTTTGTTCATGTTCCTCCCGCTCTCCTTCAACAAAGAAAAACACGACGACCACCAAAGACGACGACGTCGAGTCCGTAGCCATTTTGGCTCAAGGCCCGAGCAATTCCTCGCCCCACGAGGCAAGGATATTGGTCCTGCGAGTCCGCATGCTGTCGTCCAGTATGCTGACGCAGAGCTCCATGTTCCGGGCTCAGCGACGGCTGCATGGCAGCGACGGCGAGTCTGCAGCCTCTCATGGCAGCAGCCGGCAGCCTTTCCTGAATATTGCAGGTTATTCAGGCGGGCACGCCACGAGTCCGCAAGAGTAGTCTCCCGATGAGGACGTTGGCAAGCTGCAGTGGGCTTGCGAGAACCTGGAGGCTGCTTACGTTGATACGTGCCAACGTCTGGCATGGCTGGGGAAGGCAGTTCATGCCAGGGCCATGGACGCGGCCGACGAGCTATGTGATGCTCGCGTCAGAGGGCTTTCTGTCGAGAAGCCTGGTTGCGTGGCGCCCACAGAGCCCGCCACTCTTCTCAGCCCGACACTCCGCCACGCTTGTACGAGATCGCTTCTCGACCTGTCGCGCAGTCCCTGCCCACCAGGTGCATGCATGCTGAAAGTTCCTGCGGCAGTGCTGAGGAGGTGCAGACCGAGAGCATCGGGCGGGTTGCAATGGGGTGTGACCGAAATGAGGGGTGAAGAAAGGAGCCTTCTAGGGCCTCTTTTTGAGCTTGCAGGGGCCCGAAATGGGCCCTGAAGGGATCCTTTAGGGCCTTCCTTTTCACACCACTTTCGGTCACACCTCATTACCACCCGCCCGAGAGCATTGTCCAGTTCGATAATGCGGTGATTTACGCCGAGGAGGGCCAGTCACTCATGGTACATATCATGCGCTTGGGGGAGCGGCACTCGGTCTGCTCCGGTGACTACTACGAGACTGGGGATTCAGAGATGTGGGGTGACATATGCGAAGCCTTGAAGGGCACCGCGCACTTCAAGCCAGGAGAGAGGAACACGACGAGCAGTCTGCAATTCTTCGAAGATTCTGGGTACCCAGGCTCGACAGTGGAGGCAAGCATTCAAGTTTCGAGCCCACACGGCTGCGTACTCGGGGCGGTTAACGTGAAACAGGTCCGCGTGGAGTTGCTGGATAATCATACTTCTCCCAGAAGACTACAGTACCGAGTCCGAGAGAAAGAGCCAAGATTTTAGTTTGCTCGTGGAGATTTGCAAGGCTGCCTTCATGCACACCACTTCTGGGTCGATCAAGCTAATCGTCACATGCCAGGTCAACAACTTGATATACCTTTTTGAACTCTGGGCCGTACGCTCCGGACCATGAAGATCATGTCGACGACCCTCCCATTTTGTTGTACATGACCGTGCTCGCGCTCTATCTTATGCTTCCCTTCGGGCTTACCTATCTGATCGCGTATGAGAGTCCAGGGTGCGGCGTTGGAGGCGGCGCTCCAAAGGTGTTGCTCGAGGCGCTGATCGCAAGGCTTGTGAATTGCGTGGAGGAAAGCCGTGACTCAGTGCACATACGAATGGACTGCTGCTTTCAATGTTGAGATCTCGACGCTCGTGAATGACGGCTACATGAAAGTATTCACATTAATAAGTGCCATAGGAGAAATAGTTCTCTTGGCGTTATGTATGACCTCATTGGCTTTGTAGGACTGTCCGTAAGGGCTTCGCCCTCTGCCGCCAGCCCCGTGTCGGGATGTTTGGGCGCCATCTGGAAGACACCTGGGAACATCATGTGGGGACGGATCGGAACCAGCAAATTGAGATGTTGGGGCGATTGCAGAACGCTTTGTTGCAGTTTTGGAGCGTTCCCCTTGGGAGCTCGAACCTGGCGTAGTTTGCACAGGATTCTGGCCTCGCGAGCGCGAAACCCCGCGAACTGCACGAGGGACTCTGGCCCCGGGAGCGCGAATTTGGTGCGAGTTGTTGGGAGATCTTGGCTGGGGAGTGTGAAGCTGACGTAGCTTACAGCGGATTCTGGCCTCGGGAGCGCGAGTCACGCGTAATGCACTAGGCATTCTGGCCTCGGCAGCAAGAACTTATGTAATATATGAAGGATTCGAGCTTCGGGAGCCCGAATCTGCTGTAATGCGTGAGGGGATTTTGGATTTGGGGGTGGGAATCTGGGAGAAACTACAGAGGATGCCAGCCACGGGAGCGCGAACCTGGCGTAATTTACAAAGGATTGTTGCCCCGGGGGCGCGAACTTTTATACATTTTGAGATGTCCCAGGGCCCACCAGAAATTTATAGCACGCGACTCGAACGTGTTATACGGGCGGTTTTTTGTTCCCCCAATCGCGCGGACTGTAACAACATACAGTAGGGAGCAGGAAGTATAATTATCATAGCGGAGATTGGAAACTTGAATTTGAGCGGGCTGCAGGAAACCTCATCCGCGCAGCTTGATGGCCCTGCAAGGCGGCCGGCGGATGCCGAGACGGGTCGGCGAGACTTGTTCGTCAGCATCTCACCATTATTCATCATGCCGCCTGTCATTCGTTGTTATTTTGCATTGCGGCCCCGTGGTGCCAGGGACGTGCACCAAGACGAAGGCGTCGCCTCGGTTCGATTAAGAACATTTGCGTGTGAGAGTGATGTTGCGTTGCCGCACGATGGCAGATCATTGGAGCAAGCCATTAGTATTATGACAAAACATGGGGTTGACCGGTGACTCTAACGAGAAGCTGACAGACGAGAACCAAAGGAAGGCGAGCGAAGGGGCTGTCTTCGGTTGGGTAATGAAGTCGGTAGAGTTTTGCGCCAGCTTTGGACTGAATGCGATGTTGATCCGCGGCGGTATCAGAATTGACACCTGCGCTGTCGTTTCGTTTGGCCAACAAGTGCAGCGCAGGAGTTCCAGAGAACCTGCCGCACCATTGTGGCAATGCAGGCTTGCTTTCCATGCCTGTGGAAGTGGGTCGCCCAGTGACGTATGGGAGCGCAGAGACAAGCTCTCAGACGTGAGGCCTTGGTTTGTGGAGCGCGTCGATATGGGGCGGTTGCAGGCCTCAGGGGAGATACCCGAAGACAGGGCCCCCCTCTGCATGGAAGACATCACATTTACTTACCGAGGTGTCCATCGCCCGTCTTCCGTGACCTCACAGTGGCAGTCAATATTGGAGAATTCGCAGCCATCTTAGGGCCACACAATTCTGGCAAGAACACGCTTCTCCAGATATTGTTTGGGGTGCTTCTTCCAAGCGCAGGCAGCTCCCATGTGCCACTGCATCTGCGAGTGCTGCACTTGAGTTATGAGCAACAGATTTGGGACAGGCCTCTGTCCGAAACCCTTTCTCATGGATGGGTGGCCGCCCACGGTTTAACTCGGGTCGAAGATTTGTACGAGTGCACGATCGCGCAAGGATTCGGATGTTTGCAAGCAGCTAGAGCTTCACGAGAGTCTGTTCAACATTATCGAACGTGAGGCGAGATCGCGAACCAATCCGTCCATCAAGGGGAAGGAAAAGCTTGCAGACAGAACCAGCCTCCCCACAGATTCCAGCTACAAGCTGCAGTTGGCCCACGCTCTACTTGCACACCCAAAGGTGTTGGTTATTCACAAGCCTGTGGCCCATGCCACGGGGAACGACGGGGGCCTCTGGGTGGATGTGCTTGGACGATGCGTTGACGACCGCGGCCTATGCCCTCCCCCTGGCCGAGTGCACGTCCGACGGCCGCGCACGTGCATCGTGTCCATGGAGAAGCCTGCCTTCCTGGAGAAGCTCCACCGGGCTTTCGAGGCCAAGGGCGGACACGTCAGAAAGACGACACCGAGAATCATCAGCGACACGCCCAGCTCGTCGGTCCCACGTCAGTCCTGACGAGTTGGGCGCCCAAATGTTTGCCTTCTCCCATCCTCGTGGTCTCCCCTCCTCTTCCCTCCTCCTTCCTCTCCCTTCCTCCTCCGCCCCCTTCCCCTCCTTCCGCGCGACCATCAGCTTCAATTTCATTTTGAACCGTGTCCGGATCACATCAGGCATGCAAGTTTTCCCGGACCCAGGCAAGCTCGCCACATCCGAGAGGTATCTCGTGACAGACGCATCTTATGTTTGCAAAGTGTTTGGCGCAGAGAGGGCCATTGGTTCATTTCAATGAAAAGTTGTTTGTTTTTTTTTCCGCGCGTGGATAATCCGCCCTGCGCTGCATGCTGCTCTTGTCTCGGTAGTTTGTGTCTGCTATTGGGGAGGCCTCACGTCCGTCCCATCGACCCGGAAAGGGGATCAGGAGGCAGGCTCCAGAAAGTCGCGGAATGTTCGAAGGTTGCTAGGGTTTCTTGAATCTCCTCTCGGGGAGCTCTTTGGCATCTGGAGAGCGTTTCGCAGACTTCATGGGATCTGTTCATAGCCCCTTGGGGGCTTGCTGGCGGTCTGGGGGGGATGATTGGGAGGAATGGCTCGAGGCTCGACATAGGATTGCAAAAAAAACGAAGGATTGCAAAAAAACCCTGGATTGCAAAAAAACGATGGATTGCAAAAAAACCGACATAGGATTGCAAAAAAAAACCAAGGATTGCAAAAAAAACGAAGGTTTTTGTTGCAATCCTTCGATTCGGGTTCACTCTGGGGCCTTTCTCGAGGTCCTGTTGGGAGCCTCCCGAGCCCTCCCTGGGTGGCCTCTTGGGCCGCCTCGGGCTTCTTTGCGAGTCCTGGGCCCTCCCGGGGACCTCTTTGATCGTCTTGAGGCGACATTGGGGGTCTCTTGGGCCGCCTTGAGCGATCGGAAGACGAAGAATGAGATAACCCAGCCACTGTCAAAAGCCATAATATATCCTGTGATTTTTGCATCCTGGGGCTCGGTGCCCTCGGAAGGTTTCCTGGACCGGCTTGAAGGCACCTTTGGCCGTCTTGGAGTGTTCGTAGGCCTTTTCAGATCCCCTTCGGACCATCTTGGACTCAAGTCTTTGCGTTGCATGCTCCTCATGTCTCGGTAGCTCCCTTTGCTATTCGTACGCATCACGGCCCGGCAACTTGGCAAGCTGCAATACAATGCAGATGCTTTTGGCTTGGCACTGTTTCGAATTGCTTGGCATTGACTGACGGTACCCTGGCTGCAAAGCAACCCAGCGCCGTGGCGACTTAATTTGCCATTCAAGGCGTTCCCAGGCTGGTGAGTGCGGCGTGTAAATCATTGAATTCCCGAGTTAAGTCGGCCATTGGCTGACGCATCCACCAGCCCGACCGCGACGTAATTCGCGATTCAGGTCTCCCGCCTGCTGGCGATTGCTCCAGGGTCGGTGGCGGCTTAAATCGCGATTTAAGTCTCGACTGACCTCATGGTTCCAGTCGCTTCCGCTCCCAGGTTGTCCCGATAGTTGTCCAGATGGTTGTGACGGTTGTCCCGATGGTTGTCCCCACGGTTGTCCCGAGAGTTGTCCCGATGGTTGTCCCAATGTTTATCTTTATGTTTGAGACGATGGGTTTCTCCCCGATGGTCACCCCGGTGGTCGTCTCTCCGAAAGATTTCCCGATGCTGGGTACGACTCTTGGTCGCTTCTTTTTTCTACATTAATTTGTGGCGCCGCCTTGGGCTACCGTTGATACCATCTTGAGCCCGAGCACGCCGCCCCGTGTCCAGCATAATGATTTGCAATGCTGAATGCATGCGGGGTTCGAGGTTGTTTTATTGTTGTGTTGTATGGTCGACGGCATGGCGTTATCTTGGGCCATCTTGGATGCCAGCTTGAGACCATGTCCAATCAAACTGTAAACCCTCGGACTGATCCAGTGCAACATTGTGTTTCGCACGTTCGGATACGCCCACGCTGGGTGTAATCAGCTTCTGAGCTCTTAAGAGGTTGTTGATGTCTTACGTGCGTGCGTTCTTTCGGTTAGCCATGTCAGCCGCGTACTGTATGCAAGCCTCATGAGCTCTATATGAGCTTTATAACCCGTGTGTGCCCTCCAAGCTCTACAGCCGTACATATAAGTTGAGTAAACCTTATCAGGTTCATAAGTCTTATGTGTCATACACGCCCTACAAGTCTTACACGCCCTTACAAGTCCCTGTAAGCCCTATTAGTACTACAAGCCTTATAGGGGGTCAATCGGGCTCACAGGGCTGATAGCTTTGTGAACGCGGTTCATATCTGGAAATCCAGTTTGTTGTCCCAGTGCGTGCGCACTCAAGAGTTGAATTTTAAGTCGACTGCAACTCACAGATGATGCCACCCCAAACCTCTGCATAACCCGATGGGTGGTCTAAGGAGATTGCACAGTGTGACCTGAAGTGCAATGTTACTGTCGAGCTCTTGGCCTGTCACGGTAGTGGGTGATCAGAGGCGTCGGAAAGAACGACAATATGAGAATTTATGACAGCGAGTCCCCTCCCGATGAGGGGGCAGCCAGGTGTTCGCGGGCGTGGCATCGCTCCTGGCCGCCGCGACCCCCACCATGGACCCGCCCTTCGTGAAGCCCACTCCGGCAGGGACGAGGGCGGAAGGTGCGAGGAGGAGGAGGAGGAGGAGGAGGAGGTGGATCGGTGCTGCCAGAGGTACCCCTGGGCGAATGTGTTTCCAGAGAGGCCCCCGCGGCCTCCAGAGTATCCATCCCATCACGAGGCCTGGGGGGTCCCCAAGGGCTTGAGAGTGGTGCGGGAAGCTGGGGGCACCGTAGGCCAGGGCCGCCTGGCAACCGTTGAGAGAGGAGGAGGAGGAGGAGGAGGAGGAAACTAACGATCCGCAGCTTGAAGCTCGAAGGAGGAGGAGGAGGAGGCGGGAAGGGCGAGGTAAGTGGGCGAAGCAGGCCAGGGTGGCAAGGGAGGGAGGATGTGCAAAGGCTAGAAGGGCCTGTTCATCCCCCTCCTTCTCCTCCCCTCCTTCTGCTGCTCCTTCTGCTGCTCCTGCGTCTCCTCCTCTCTCCCCCCCCTCACCTTCTCCCCCCTGGGCAAAGGGAAGGGGCGAGGGCAGTGAGGAGGGAGGGGCTCGACTGCTCGCGTCGGATGCCCCCGGGGTTCTCAACCCTTTGTTGGCTTCTCCCCGCTGCCCCGGGGCCCGAACACTGCCCCCCCCCTGGCGTCGGACTCACAACACGACGGGCGTTGCGGTGTTCCAGCGACGCCCGGAGGACGGGGGGGTGGGGAGAGGTGGGAGGGGCAAAAGGCATGACATCAGGAGGCCAGAAAGGCGAGGGAATTGGAACGGGAGCTGGGACCAGCTCCTCCTGCTGCTCATCACCAGCACGTCTTCCTTCTCCGTGCGCCCTCCTATTTTTCGTCAGCCCTCCCTGCTCCCCACCTCGTCCCTCCTCCTCCGCCTTCCTCGTTCACCCCTCCCAGAGATGGAGAGGGAGGAGTCTTGGAATGGAGAAAAGAGGAAGGAAGCATGGAGGGATAGAGACAGGATGGGTGCAAGGGTGGCGAGAGAGAATCATGGACAGATGGAGAGTGGAGGGGGGCAGGGAGAGACGTACGGTGAAGGAGGAGAGAGGAAGCGGGAGGGAGGAAGCAAGGAGGGAGCGGGGGTCGAGGCATGGAAGGATGGAGGCATGGATGGAGGAGGGGTGAATGGAGCAGAGAGGATGGAGGAGGGGATGGAGGAAGGATTACAACGGAGGGAGGTGGGATGACGGGAGGGAGGGAGAAAGGGGAAGCGGGAAGCAGGGTCAGTCGTCCTCACCGCTCTTATCTACTCCTCCCGATCCGTCATTGTGCTCGCACTTATCCTCACCCCCCGCTTCCCGTGTACCCCCAAACTCATAGGCAGATTCCGTTATATTCCTCGACGCCATGCGCCCAATGCCGATCTCTCGCATCTCCGTGTCCTAAGCATCATCATTCTTCCTCATCTTACGCGTGCCCTCCCATCCGCGTCCCCGCCCGAAGTATCAACAACATCGCCCTCCTTATTCTCACCCTGCCTCTTCTTCGTCTCGTCATGCTTAGTTGTCTCAGCTTCCATCAACGGTCCCCTTGTCATCGTCCTCTGTGTCATCATCGGTCCCATCATCACGAGCATCATCATCAGCTTCGTTAAATTCGTCCCGCTCTTCCTGGTCCCAATCTTTTTTCATCGTACACGCCAGCAGACTTACCCGTCGCCGTGCCGTCATCGTCCTTCGTCCTCCCGCCTCCCATTAAGTCCCCCATGTCTTCCTCTCGTCCGCCTCGTTCTCGTTCACATACTGTCCACTCCCTCATCCCCCTCCTGTTTGTCCCCCATCGTCAACTGTTTGTTCTTACGTTGCTGGGGCATCCACATGCTTCTGTCAATGTGATGGTTGGTTTGGTATGCGGTGCGTTGTGTCGTAGAAGTGTTTGTCTGTACGTGCTTCTCGTACGCGTCCTGTTGCTACATGCGTCTCGTGCTATGACCTCCAAGGGTTCGTCGACGTATCGTGCGCGTTCTCGGCGCGACATCTGGCCGCTGGACTTGTCGTGCTCGCCCTACCGTCACCTTCCACATTATCGTGGACCCGAGCCGGGAGTCCCGAGCCCAAGACACGAGCTGGCGAGCAACCGACATGGAATTCGAGCTTGAGCTGATTGGGCGCCCGCCTCGGTCTTACGCAGACCGCTCGAGCTGCTGAGGTGCCCGCCTGGCTCGAACTGATCTGGAGCTCGAGCTGCTTGGGCGCCCGCCCGCTGGAGACATCTGCGAACGGGCTTGTGATTCACACATCTCGGTCTCATGGACAGAATCGGTAGAGTCGCGGTCCAGACGCCAATGCTGAATTTGTTCAACGAGTCTAATTGTTATCTGGTAGTCTTGCGCACCCTGCTCGCGCCGTCGACATGATTTGGGTGCGGCGTTTGTCCAGGTTGAAAGGCTCGAGTTCAAGTCGTGAGTCAATCCTTGCAATATTCCGCTCAGGCAGCTCGATGATGGTAGGGCCCGCTGTCGTCGAGGAAGCCCCCCTGCTTCCTCAAAAGGCTGTCTCTCTCGCCTTGTACCCCTTTTGCGCGGCGCCACCGTGGGGAGGGAGTGTGACGGACGAGTCGGGGAGGGGGGGGACGAGGAGAAGTAGGAGGAGGAGAAGGAGGCGGAGAAGGAGGAGGAGGAGGAGAGGGAAGAGTGGGAGGAGCAGGAGGAGGAGGAGGAGGAGGATGAGGAGCGGGTTGCAACGTTTGCAGGGCAGGTTTTCCTGACCATGTATGCCGCGGAGCTCCTCCACGTCATGATGCATCAGGAGCTCCCGGTATTGCATTGGCGTGACTCCTTTCCGCTTGCAGGTGGCAGGAAGAGAGAGGGGTGTTGGAAATGTATAGGCTATTCAAGTGGCGGCATACGCGCGTTATTCGCCGTCCCCCCGCCCTCTGCCCCCTCTCCCCTGCCCCCGTCTCCAGCACCCCCTCTTCCACTCCACTGCTTGTCATATTTCACATCTTCCCCTCTCCCCTCCTCGTGCCGCCCCGCTCAGGCTGCTTCTCTACCTCTTCCATACCCTCCTCCCCTCCCCTTCACTTCCTCACCATTCGCCGTTCCTCCTCCTCCCTCCATCTTGAATCCTTGCATCCCACCTCCCCCTCGGATCAGAGTTTGGTACTCAGGAGTACTCCCCCTGAGTTACTCCATGTGATTTCGCATCAGTGCTGTCCTGGACCTGCATGGAGTTTTCCAGTGGCAGATTTAGGACACGGGTCTTGAGACATTGCGCAATGTGTAGCGCATAGCCCGTAATCATGGAGTGTTATGCTTGTCATTCCTCAGTCGTCTCCGTGGGTTTTGCTTGGCGCGGTGTTGCTGTTTTTGCATGCTGCTAGTTCAAGCCATACGCTTTGTGGTGGAGTTGGTGGCATGGGCATGTCAAGCTTCATTCCGTATCGATATATCCATGTCGCGAGCATGTGTTCGGCGTATTGATATTGGTTGCATGTGTTTGGCGTATTGTTGTTTTTTGACTGTTGCATGCTGCATCGCCTACTGCCGACGCATCCCAGTTCCCTATGCCATTGCATGTGTTCGTGGTTTCCGTGGACGTTGGTGGCGGTGTGGGATAAGTCGCCGTCCTTCCCATCCTTCCTATTGTCCATCTCCCTCCCCCTTTCCTCCATCCCGCAGTCCAGGCTCTACTCTGTCCATCCATCCCCACTTCTTACCGACTTCTTGCGTCCCTTCTAGTGTCCAAAGCTTGATTAAAAGATGATGATCCCACCCCTCTACCCCATCCCGGATCCCGACTGCCACTTATTCGCCGCCGAACAATCATCTTCTAATACAACTGTCTCCCTCGGAACATTTTCCACGGAGACCGTAACGATGTGCGATTGATGTATGATGCCGCGCTCCAGGCCCATTGCCACCCCTCGCCCAGATGTGATGGGTCTCAGGGTCCCTCGGGCCCCCTCCCCCAGATGGAATTGGGGGGGAACGACGACGACGACGACAACGACCACGACCACGACGACGATGACGACGACGACGACGACGACGACGACGACGACGATGAAGACACCCTCGGCTCCGGCTCCCTGAAGCACCGCCCCCCGCCCCCCTTCCCCGTCCCCCTCCCCTTCCCCCTCCCCCTCCCCCCTCCCCATCCCTTCCCCCGTCCCCCTCCCCATCCCTCCCTCCTCGTTCCCTGGCCTGCTCTCTTCTCTCACTTCCTCTCCTCTTTTTCCTCCTCCTCCTCCTCCTCTTCTCCTCCTCCTCCTTCTCCTCCCTTTTCCTCCACCTCCTCCTCCTCTGCCTCCTCCTCCTCCTCCTCCTCCCAGATGGGAGGGGGGAGAGACGGACCCCAAACCCACCACCGCACGCCCACGAGGGAAGACCCCACCACGCCACGCTCACGGGGGGGGGGGGGCTATCGCGCGGGTGGGGGGGGGGTGCGATGGCATCAGCATGAGGGGGTGGGGCCCGGATCCTGCATCAGATTTACACATGTGTATGTTTGTGTTTGGATATATATATATATATATATATATATATATATATGTATATGTATACACATTTTGGATAGATTTGCAGCCTCCCGAGAGACATGGTGGACGGGCCGATATCGTTTCGGTTCGAGCGTTTTGGAGAGAATAATTATCCATGGTAGCGTGAGCGGATGCGCCCCCAGCGCCGAGAGCGGCAGCCTGCGATAGAGCCGCGGCGGGCCAGGCCCGCGGAGGGCTCCTCAGCGCAGGCCAGGGCCCAGGCGCTGGAGGCGACCAGCCTCGTGGACCCAGACGAGTGCGAGTACGATTTCGAGGCGCTGTCGCAGAAGGACACTGCCCAGGTGTGGGTCTCGCTGGCGACGCGGCTGGTGAGGCTGGCCTTCAAGAGGCGCTGTCGGGCACACCTCGGACAGCATCTGTGTACGATCAAGAGACGGGGTCAAGGTGGCAGCAACAGTCCAGGACGTCCAGGCGCTTCGACAGGCTCTCGAGCAATTGCAGGGGGAGCTACGGCAAGCACGAGCGGACGCGGACGCCGCGAGTAGGGCGGCGCAGGAGGCTGCGCAGCGGGCACAGCAGGTGCTCGGGCAGCAGGGTGCAGCCGCAGCGGCGGCGCAAGTGCCAGACCCTGGACCTGAGAGGATGGCCGCGGAGATGCAGATGATAGGCAAACCAGAGATGCTCGATGGGGCCAAGCCGCAATAGAGGGACTGGTCGGTGGTGTTCGAGGCGTTCGCAGGTGCGACGAACCCAAACATGGCGGCGGCGATGGCCAGGGCAAAGCGTGAGGCATAACCAGTTTTGATGACGAACCTTGAGCCAGGGGACATGCAGTTGTCCAGGACGTTGGGGTACTGGCTCATCCAGACATGCAGGATCCAGGCGCTCGACGTAGTGCTGAATGCGGGTAAGTTCGAGGGATCCGAAGCCTGGCGACAGCTACACCTTCGATTCGAGCCACAGGCGGCGAGCAGGTACGCTGGACAGTTGATGACGCTGCTCGCCTGGGACTTCAGTGGCGAGATGATGATACGCCTGGAAACCTTCGAGAGGGAGATCAGCCTGTATGAGTCGGCGTCGGAGGAGACCCTCTCGGACGCGATCAAGGTTGGCATAGTGCTGAGGCAGTTGCCCGAGTCCCCGCTGAGGCAGCACATGATCATGAATGCGGAGAGACTCAAGGAGTGGCCCAAGTTCAGGGAAGAGATCCTGAACGTCCGACGAGCCCAGGCCGCAGCGGCGGCAGCGCAGAACGGGGTGGCCCCGATGGATCTTTCAGCGTTCAACAACCAGGGTGGCAAGGGGCGCTGCAGGATCTGCAACGGCAAGGGCCACGACGAGAGGAACTGCTGGCACCGCAAGGGCGGGGCCGGGGCAGGCAAAGGCAAGTCGGACAGCAAGGGCAAGTCGAGAGGCGATTCCAAGTCGAAGGGATCCTCGAAGGGCGGAAAGGCAAAGGACGGCAAGGCCGGCAAGGGGCCGAAGTGCTTCAACTGCCAGGAGCACTGGCACATGTCCAAGGACTGCCCGAAGAAGAAGAACAACCTGCACATGATGGAGCCGGAACCTGAGAAGGCGCTGCGCGGGCTGTGGCTCGCGCCGTTCACGATCGACGAGAAGGGCGCGGCGCAGAAGGCCTTCGACCTGCTGATCGAGGGCGGCTTGGTGGACGACAAGCTGGTGCACGAGCTGAGCAGGCTCGGTGCGGACACGGCGCGGGCATCCCGCAGGATGGTGCTCGGTGTCGACTCGTGTGCAGCTACGACGGTCGTGCCATCAGAGCTGGCGCCGGACTACCCGACGTGCGAGAATGAAATGAGCGCGAAGGGCGAAGGCTACAGGACCGCGAACGGCGGCTGGGTGGCCGACGAGGGCACTAAGGAGCTCATCGGGTCGGTGCGCAACTCGGACGGTTCGGCGCAGGTGAGAGGCATCAAGGCTAGGGTCACGAAGGTCAGCAAGGCTCGCCTCTGTCTCGGAGATGGTCGACGCAGGCCATCGGGTCGTCTTTGATGCTGGCGGCAGCTGCGCGCATAACAAGTCGGCAGGGGTGGTTTCACCGTTCCAGAGGCGCAACAACGTGTACGAGATGGAGATGGAGCTGATGCCGTATAGCAAGGCGAAGGACGTGATCGGCCGCGCGGAGGCCTGGTCCAAGCCCAGCTCGAGCGGCAAGAAGCTGAAGGAGATCTGCATGGTGAGGAGCGATGACGCAGGTGATGGAGCTGGATCGAGTCAGGCAGTGCGGCGGCAGCAGCAGCAGAACCAGTCCAAGAACCTGTTCAACCAGAAGCGGTACCTCCACCACCTGCCCCGGTGGTTGCTCCGGAGCGGCCGGCAGTGAGAGCGGCGCGGAGACCGCGCGAGCCGACCCAGCAGGAGCGAGAGGACCATGAAGTGTCGCACGCGCCGCATCGAGCTTGGCGCAGGCACTGCGCTGCAGGACGCGGGCGAGCTGAACCTCATGGGACGAGGAGCCACGCGGAGGATGCGATGCCAGTCGTGGCGTTCGACTACGGTTACCTCGGCAGCGGTGAGGACGCTGCCCCGATTCTGTTCGTGAGGGACTCGCTGCACAGGTACACGGGCGCGGAGGTGTTGACCTGCAAGGGGGCGGCGCACGCGCACAGCGCCGACATGTTGGCGAAGTTCGCGGTCAACGGCGGCTACAAGGAGGTGGTCTTCAGGTGCGACAACGAGCCGAGCATCGTCGCCTTGAGGGACGAGGCCGTCAAGAGGCTCAAGAAGGACCACGGCGCGGAGTGCTTGCTGGAGACCTCGGCGGTTGGAGAGTCACAGTCGAACGGTCTAGCTGAAGGGGCTGTCAGGGATATGAAGGGCCTGACGAGGACCCTCATGTACGCGATGGAGGAGATGCACGGAGTCACGATCGGCCCGAAGCATCCGTGCCTGCCGTGGATGGTGAGGCACGGCGCTGCAGTCCACAATCGAGGTCAAGTGGGCTCGGACGGGCGCACGCCGTACGAGTTGAGGAAGGGGCGCACTTACAAGAGGGCGCTCCCGGCGTTCGGCGAGAAGGTGTTCTGCCTGCCAGTCGGCAAGAGAGAGTCGAGGCTGGCGGACAGGTGGCTGGAGGGCGTCTTCTACGTGATCCGCGACGACAGCGACGAGGTGTACGTGGCGACGCCGAAGGACGTGATGAGAGCCAGGAGCGTCAAGAGGATGCCATTGGCAGCGAGGAGCGACAAGGCTCTTTTCTCGGAGCTGCAGGGCGTGCCGTGGCGACCTGTTCCTTGTCAAGAAGGCGAAGGACTCGAAGTGCCACCTGCCGTGGCGAAGGTGGTGGCGGATCAGGTGGTGCCGGACGTGGATCTGCCCCCTGTTCCAGGACCTGTGGGTCCTCCTGCTCCGAGGAGGGTCTACATCGGGAAGGGCGTGGAGCTGCGGCGCTACGGATACACCCCAGGTTGCAGGGGCTGCGCAGCAGCTCGGGGCAACCAGCGCGCGATCATGCACAACGAGGAATGCCGAACGAGGATCGAGAAAGCGATGGAGGGCGACCAGACGTTCGGCGATGGAGCTCGGGTGGCAGAGGCTCACCTACGGCGAGTAGCTGGTGAGCGACCCGAGAGAAGTGAAGACGAAGAACCTGGGGCCAAGCGAGGACGAGTCGGTGATCGTGGACCAGTCGGGGAACCAGGGGCGCCAAGCTCATCTGGGACAGCGTCAGGAAGCGCTCCGGCGGCGGCGGACGTGGCCATGGGCGACGCGGCGGAGATTGGCGCGCTGCTGGAACAGCTTGGTCTCGACAGCTTGGATTTGCAGGAGGTGTTCAACCCAGGGGAGTTCGCCAAGGGAGCTCCACAGTTCAACCTGAAGCCAGGAGTGGCGATGGACCTCAGGACGGGCTTGGACTTCCGGCTCGAGGAGCAGCGGAAGCGAGCGAGAGCGGAGATTGAGGAGGGAGACCTTGCCTTCCTCATCATGTCTCCTGTATGCACCCCGTTTTCACAGCTGATGGAGTTGCTGATGGCGAGCGGCAAGCGCGACGAGGTCAAGCTTCAGAGGCTGCTCGCGGAGTGCAAGGTCTTCCTGGGCTTCTGTATGGAGCTGGCGGCCTACCAGCATTCGAGGGGGAAGTGGTTCCTGTTCGAGCACCCTTGGACGGCGTCAAGGTGGAAAGAGGAGTGCATCAAGAGCATCAGGGAGCTGCCCGGCGTCATAGTGGTCAAGGGCAGCCAGTGTGTGTTCGGAGCCAAGTCATACTGGCCGGACGGCTCGGAGGGCCTCGTGGCGAAGCCGACGGGCTGGATGACGAATAGCCGCGAGGTGGCGAAGCAGGTGGGGATCGTGCGCGACGGCTCCCACGAGCATGTGCACCTCCTGGAGAGGAGGGCAAAGGCGGCTGAGAGGTACCCCTTAGGGCTGGTGAAGGCAATCCTGAAGGGCATCAGAAACGAGTTGTAGATCGGTAAAGGGATCCATGCGTTCGAGGTTGGCCAGACCGCAGAGGAGCCAGAGATCCTGGAGCAGGCGACCGAGGAGGAGATGGCGACCTTCTACGACGGGATCAGCGGGGCGGTGCTGGACCCGATAGGCGCCAAGAACGCACGCATGGACGAGATGGGCTACATGAGCAGGCTCGGAGTGTTCGAGAGGAGAAAGATTTCCGAGGCGCTGCAAGTGTCGGGAACCCAGCCGCTTCCAAGCGGCTGGGCCGACACCAACAAGGGAGACGACCAGAAACCAGAACTACGGAGTCGGTTGGTGGCGAAAGAGACGCGGAAGCTGAGCACCCTTGGGCCTGAGGGCGCCGCGGCGACCTTCGCGGCGACCCCGCCGCTGGAGGGCCTGAGGATGATTCTTTCTATGGCGATGACAGGGCGGCATGAAGATCGAGTGCTGACCTTCATCGATATCTCAAGAGCGCATCTACATTCAGAGCTGCAGAGGCCAGTGTACTTGAAGGCGCCAGCGGAGGATCTAGAGTGCAAGGATGACGAGTGTTGGCTGCTGCGGAAGGCCATGTATGGGCTGAGAGATGCCTGCTCATCCTTCGACCTGAAGGTGGAGGACATCATGGTGAGGATCCTGAAGGCGAAGCAGGGCGAGTTCTCGCCTTGCATCTACCAGGTTGGCAAGCTGGTCGTTTGGAGGCACGGCGACGATTTCGTGGTGCTCGGTGGGCGAAAGGATTCAAAGGCTTTTACGGAGAACCTCGGCGAGCACCTGATCGTGAAAGTACGAGGAGTTTTGGGGCCTGACCCGAGCGGCGACATCGACGAGATCGTGGTGCTGAATCGCATTGTGAGGTGGGTCAGGCCGAACGGCAACGACGTGGAGAAGATCGAGTACGAGGCGGACCCGAGGCACGTGGAGATCATCCTGGCCCAACTGGGCCTGCAGGGTAAAGAGAGCAAGCAAGTGGTCACGCCGGGGATCAAGAGGCAGGAGCTGGATGGAGAAGCACTACAAGGACAAGAGCGGGTCATCTACCGCTCAGTGTGCATGCGTATTCAATACCTGGCGCAGGGTCGACCTGATCTACAGTACGCGGCGAAGGAATCAGCACGAGTGATGCAGGACCCGACGATTGGCGGGTGGCAGGCCATGGAACGGATCGGTCGGTACCTCGTAGGTACCCCGAGGCTGGTGGTTGAGTATCCACGGCAGGCAGGTCGGCGAGTTGCTCAAGTCTACACGGACAGTGACTTCGCAGGCTGCCTGAGGACACGTAAGTCTACTTCATCGTGTACGGTGATGATTGGGAAGCATTGGATTAGAAGCAGCTCGACAACCCAAGGGTTCAATGCTCTATCTACGGGAGAAGCGGAGTTCCATGCGCTGGTGAAGGGCGGCAGTATTGGGCTCGGCCTCAAGACTCTCGCAAAGGACATGGGTGTAGATCTCGAGATCGTGCTGAAGTGCGACGCGACGGCGGGCAAGGGCATCGCTGAACGTCGTGGAGTCGGACGAATTCGACACCTTCATACACCTCTGCTGCGGCTGCAGAGGGCTGTGCAGCAGAAGAGGTTGCGTGTCACCAAGATAGCAGGTCTCGAGAACATCCGTGACATCGGTACGAAGCACCTGGACGGGCCCCCGATTAAGAAGTTCCTGACGATGATGGGGTTCGTGGCGAGAGCAGGTCGGAGCCGACTGGCCCTGCGGGCAGCGCTGGATGGGTGAGTGATGAGTGACATCCCTCAGAGCGCTTGAGCTGGCGGCGGCGTTAGGCCGCGCGCTTTTGATTCTAAGGAGTGGTGGATCGCCACGCTCCGCTGACTTTGCGCCGGCCGTAAGAGTCGGCGGCCTCCCACGCGGAAGGAGCGCGGAAGGCCGGGAGGGCTGGGTAGATTTGCAGCCTCCCGAGAGACATGTTGGACGGGCCGATATCGTTTCGGTTCGAGCGTTTTGGAGAGAATAATTATCCGCCTTTGTATATGAATATGTATATATAATTATGGGTGTTGTTGTTTACAACTTGAAGCTTAGCATCGTCGGAGATACGGACGCATTCGGATGTCTGCACATCTCTCTCAGAGCAGTTGCCATCCGACGCTTTTGTGCTCAAGGTTTTCTGGGAGCCCAGGCCCCCATGGATCCCCTGCTCACCGAGCTCAGCAGGGGGTTCTCGACCGCTCTCGCCGATCGCTTCTCCGCAGTCCCCTGTCCAGACTGCTCCTGCACTTGCGCGCCCGTGTTCTCCTGCGCCGAGGGCGCCGTGCCGCGGGAGCTGGAGGCGAGCAGGTGGCCCGCGCCGAAGGCCTGCCTTGTCTTGCTCGGGCTCGGCGCTGCCCTGGACGGCGCCGCGGCGCTGTGGGCGCAGCGGTGGCTGACACCTGCCTCCTCAGCCTCGCCTACGCCGTCGGGCCCCGCCCCCGTCCTGAAGGACCTGTCGGAGGAGGCGCGGGCGCAGCTGGCGGAGGTCGCAGCTCAACGGTCCGCTGCGTTCCGTGGCCGACGTCATGGCGCGCCACCAGGTCGAGGCGGCAGGGCTTGCCGAGGGCGACTTCATCGACGTCCGCTATCGAGTGCGCGGGCGACGGGTCTGGCACCGCAGGCTGGTTAAGGCATTGGTGCCGGGGGGCGTCTCTGTCGTCGGGGCCCTCATTCCCGACCGCGACGAGCACGATGAGGACCTCAATGATGTCGCGAACATCGCCGAGTGGACGATGCTGCCGCAGGGCACGATCGGGACCCCAGCCGCTGCCATGGCGCTTGACAAGGTCTACGACTTCCAGCACCTCCCGCTGCCCGCTGCTGTGGACGCTGCCCGCGCCGCCGCCTACGCGAGGGCCGGCGCTGTGCCTGTCGGGCCCATCGTGGTTAACGTCGCTGGCTGTGCTGGGGCGGGCGTCCCAGTGGTCGCGGTCCCCTTGGCGGCTGCCGCCGCTCCTGCCCCTGCTGCGGGTGGCCCTGGCGGCGGTCTTGCAGGGCTGGTGGCCGCCTTCGGAGGTGCTCCTGGCGGACCTGCCGCGGTGGCGCCTCCGCCCGCGGCCCTGGTGCTTGCGGCCGCGCCCGTCGCCCCGGGTGTCGGCGCGGGCCCTCCCGCGGCGGCGCTGGGCGCTGTCGCGGCCCCCTTGGGCGTACCCGCCATGAGGCGCTTCAGGCTTCATCCTGGTATCGCTCTCGCGCCATTTTGGCTGCGCCCTAACATCGGTTGGCTAATTTGCATGTGCTCGCTCCTGGACGTGGTTCCTGGCAGCTGCAGCCCGCGCCACCTCCCGCTTCCGGTGATCTAAGGTGCCGCCTAGGCCTCTGTTTGCTGGCGCGTCAGGTAATTAGGTTCGCGCACGGCCCTCCCGTCCCGTTTGACGCCGCTTGCGCTTTCGCTTACGGCTGCGACAAAAAGTATCCCCACCAGCCCATCCAGACACGATGTCCCGGCGAGTTGAGGTGATCAGGGAAGTGCGGCAGCAAAGAGGAGGACGGCCGAGTCGGTCAAAGGAGTGAGGAGGGGAAGGAGGAGGTGGATGGATGGATGGATGAGGGAAGGGAAGAAGGAGGATGAATAGGATGAGGAGGAGGAGGAGGCGGAGGAGGAGGAGGAGGAGGAGAAGAAGGAGGAAGAGAAGGAGTGGGAGCAGGAAGGAGGAACAGGAGGAGGAGGAGGAGGAGGAGGGCAAGCACAAGGGCCAGAGGTCTCTCGGATGCCTCTCGGAGCCTCTTGGAGTATTTCTTGGGCGATTATTGGTGGCCTCTTGGGACGTATTGGGGGTCTCTTGGCGATCCTGGGGGGCTCTTCGGGGTCTTGGGTGCCTCGGGGGGGGCCTATTGGGGCCGCTTGGGGTCTTTTGGGGGGCCTCCTGGGGGCGTTTTGGGGGCCTCGTGGGGCCATTTTGGGGCCATCTCGGGACCTCTTGGGGCCTCCTGGGCGCTTCTTGGGGCCATTTTGGAGGAGATCGGTCAACGAAGGGGGGGTTCGTCAATTAAGGTCCCCCCCCAGGAGGCCAAAATGGGGCCAAAACCATTGTAGAATCAATGATTTTGGTTTCCTCGCCGAGGCCGCTTTGGACGCTCTAACTACTTGCGGCGCCCCCCGTCCAGGCCCAGGGTTGGGCGTAGGGGGAGGGGTAAACCCTTCCCCGAAGGGGAAGAGGGAGGGGTGGAAGAGAAAACACCTTAAACCACCGACGCCCAGAGGGCTGGTGGGATTTCACGAGCGCACCCCACTCCGTCGTCCACATAAAGCGGCGGGATGCCAGATCTGCGCTCCTGCGTCAGGGGTGAGGATGAGGGGCAAGATGTTGTGGCGAAGCGAAGCGAGCCAACAATATCCTTTATATATATATATACATATATATACATACATATATATACACATACATATACAAATATACATACATACATTCGCACCAGGGAACAAGGCTGGTGGTTCCCAGGGTGGCCCCTCGACGCGCCATGGGGGCCCAGGGTCTCGGGAGCACGTTGGGATCGCCCCAGAGGCTGAAGACGCCCCCAGAAGGAGCCAATTGAGCTCCAAGAGTGGCCCAAGAGGCTACTAAGATAACCCAAGAGCGCGCCGAGACGCCCAAGATGGCCTCAAGAACGCGACATTACCTTCATTTAAGACATTACCTTGGATGGCGCCCCGGGGGAACATCCTCCATCCGCCTCCCCTTCCCCTGACGACCGTTGCGCCTCGCGGCCTCCAGCGGAGAAGCTCCCTCGTCCGGCGGGGCCGCGCGAGAGCGCGCAGGCAGCCGCGCGCCGAGCAGCGCGCATCGCGAGAGGGCGGGGCGGCGCGGGCCGCCCGTGCTCTCCCGGACCTCGCGCGCCCTCGCGGAGCTCTCTCCTGGCAGGAAGGCCGTGGCAGGCCGGAGCAGCCGCGGCCCGCGCGGCGGGGCCCCTCTCTTCCGGCCCCCCCCCGGCCCCGTGGGGTCTCCCACTCCGCGGCCTCCCCCGGGAGAGTCACCGTGCGCGCTCCAGTATACTCGCAGAGTGCCTGCTCGCAAAGGTCCGACAGACATCTGGTCGCCCCGAGGGGGTGTATCGTGAAAGTCCCACCTGGCGGATCGAGGGCATGAACGAGCAGGTATCTTGCGAGTCGTGGAGCGCGCCTGAGTAGAGAGATCGTGCTCTCTGCTGCGCGGCGCGAGCAGCCCAGCACGGGCTGCCACCACCGCACCAGTGCCATCGATTGTGCCGCTCGTGACCTAGCGGGCGAAGAGCGGTGTAACAAGAACCCGGCGCGACCCCAATTAGGGGACAGTTTCCTATTGCATGGGCGTAGTGCTTGGCATTGCTTCGCATTGCTTCACATTGCTTGGCATTGTTTGGCATTGCTTGGCATGAGGCACCTGGGGCGGGGAACCCAGGGAACTTCCGAGGAACGGACAAGGTAACGATATGACGATAGGAGGCAACAGGGGCGGGGAACCCGGGGAACCCAGGGAACCTCCGAGCAACGGGCAGCGTAACACTAGTAAGCCACTAGCAGGCACCAACTCTTTACGAAGTAAGAACCCGCTTGGCAAGCCTAACTGGGGAATAAATTTGTCCGCCGTCGTGGACGTCTGCCCCCCGGGCGGCTGGAACGTTTATACCCCTACGTGGCACCGTAAGGTATAAGCTTGCTTGTCGCCCGGGGGGTAGGCGTCCCCGACGGCGGAACAGTTTATTTTACACCGTCCTTCGCCCCCTAATTGACGTCCGCCTCGTCGCCGACCCCGTCGCCGTCAGGAGGGGTGTCGTCGCCGTCGGACTTCTATCACAGCCGACGCCCCCGCTGGGCGTCGACTGTGACACAAGCCTGACGGCGACGATGCCTCCCCCCCCAAAAAACAGTCTACGCCCCCGCTGGACGTCGACTGTTACAGAAGCCTGACGGCGACGACGCTCTCCCCCCCAAATGACTCTGGCAGAGGACCCAACCATATACAGTTGTGAGTACCGTCGTTGCGGGTATCGTCTCCAGGGGATCTCCCCATGGGGCCATGAAGCATGCGAAGGTTATGCCGATGTGCGGCGGGGCCGCCACGTGGGCGCTGCCATTGGTGCTTTTGGCGGAACCAATTGCGAGGCCGCGAAAAGTGTGAGGGGTTCGGCGGGGGGGGGGGGGCGCCACTGGGGTCTTCGGTGGAGCTCCCTATGGGTAAACGAAGAGCGGTACCGCGCGGGGAAAACGCATGCGAGTAGAGCCACTGGTGCCTTCGGTGGAGCTCCCCATGGGGCCACCAAGCGCAGTGCTGGGTGGGGGGAAAGCATGCGAAAACCGCCGCTGGAGCCTTCGGTGGAGCTCCCCACAGGGCCGAGACGGAAAAGTGAGTTGAGGAGATTGGGAAGGAGGGTTTGGGATCGGAGAGGGGGGGTGAACCGCATCTTCTGCGTGCAGCTGGTTTCGGCTCTGCCGCCAGGCATCTCCTTCGATACAGAATCGCTCTTGGCACCTCGAGGCGCCCGAGAAACCAGCCATGCACGTGCATCTGACTCGACACCCCCCCTTGGCTACACCTCGGGAAAGGCAGTGGAGAAGAATGCCAGTCGCAGCCTCGCCGCGGCGCAGGGAAGCACGGTGCCCGCCTTCCACCTCCGGGACGACGCCGCGCGCGCCATCTGCGAGTTGTGGGCACCCGCCTCCTCGCCGTGTCTGCCTGGGACCTGGCAGGCGTCTGCGGGCTGGGGGCGGGCATGTGGTCGTCAGAGGCAGCACTCGCGAGGAAGACGCCTCTCACCCGGCGGCGAGCGAGGAGGGGCAGTGGGGAGGAGAAGGCCCTCCCAGAAGGCGGCAGGGCTCTTCAGACGGCCTCCGGCCTTCTGAGAGGTCCTCCGCGTCCTCGGGAGAGCGCAGCAACAACTCCACAGAAAGCCCGCGAGGCCTGCCGAGCCTGCTGAGGAGCCCCGCCACTTCCCGCTTCCCCCCCAAGGCTCGGCGTCGACTTTCACAGCAGCCCATCCGGGTGTCCAGCACGTTGTCTTAGGCAACTGTGCTGCTCGACGCTGCGATTCTGGCGTTCTGTGGGGGGGGGGGGAGGGCGACCAGGACTGCGACTCAATTGGAGTTCCTACGTGAGCAGATCCCATCAGGATCAAGCCTGCTACATTTGGCATGACCCTTTCACCTCCAGCTACTATCACCCCTGGGGCAACACATCAGCCCTTCAACCTCCAGCCGTTTCACCCCTGCCTTGGGCTATCCTCCAGCCCTCCCAGTCCTTTGCTGAGCGCTAGGCAGGCGTCCAGAGATTGCATTCGATCAAAAACTCATATACGGAGAAAAACAAAAAGAAACATGTGATACTACTCAGAAGAAGACTAAGAAGAAGTCCGAGCAAAGTCTCAGCCCGTTTGTCCAGGCCCTCGCCATTCCCATTCTAGCCGTGGAGCATGAGGTGTTCATTTGTTGAATACGTTTCTGCGTAGTTCACACCTGAAGCGTATGAATTGTGTCTGAAGGCTTTGCGGACACGTTGCGATTCTTCTGCCGGCTTCTTACAGCGTTTGCCAACATCTGTCTGGTATGGGCGAGCAGATTTGAAGGGTGGATCGGACGAGGCATTTGCTTGTTCTATGCATGTTGGCTTTCCCGAGGTTTCAAGATTTCACCGTGACAACCTTCTTACAGTTAATCCATTCCGCCACGACAGCCTAGCGCGTCCCCACCAGACAATCCTCCAGGAATCATGCTTCGCCCCTTCTCGGAATGCCTCTGACGGCCCTCATCAACGGAGCCCTTTGGGGGTGCATCGGGGGTATCATCATACTCCTGCTACTTGTCCTCCTCTTTCTCTTCTTGCGTGGCCTCCAGAGGCCTCTTGGAACTAGCCACATAAACACAGCAATCTCTGTATTTGTTCGTCGATCCTCCTCCATCTCCCTTTCTTCCTTCTTTTGTGGCGCGAGGACCCCCCGACAAGCCGAGAAGGTGGTTGTCGCCAGAGAACAGATTGATGAGGAGGAACCAACAGTATTGACACTTCGCGCGCTATCCCCACCAGCCCATCCTGAAACGATCCACATGCGTGTTGTCGTCATCAAAGAGGCGTAGGAACATGCAGTGGAACAACGAGTTCGGCAGCGGTCGAACCGAAGATCGAAATCAGGCTGGGCAGAGCCAGGAATCAACCACAGACGCTGTCGCGGATCTGTCGACCCGAGAGCCATTTCAAGATTTCTTGGGGTATGTTTGGGTTCGCGGGTGTGCGAGGACAGAGGGTTGATATCAGCGGTGCCTTTCAGGCTGGTTCGACAAATTCCACAGATTCACGCGTAGTCCGAGCAGGTTGGTGTTGTGCAATCACGGGTCAGTGTCTCCCACAAGTGGTGTTGTCAGGTTGTGCGGCACCACTCCAGGGTGCCAGACGATAACCATATGCCGAAATTGACGTGCTGGCGTTCTGCATTGCGACGGCTGTTCGGCCCATCGCTATCCTGTGTTCGCTGGAAGGTGTGAGCTCAAAGAGAGCAACCACAAGGCCATAACTAAGTGGGGCGAGCAGCAATTTAAGTGGCCAATCGCCTGCGATTTGAGCGTCGACATGGAAACGAAGCGCGCATGAATTATTCTGACCCGGGCGAAATACACAACCAAGACGCCGTATATTAGCATGGCAATGCTATTCCAGACGGGCTTGCAAATGCAGTAGTGACCAGCCCAACGCTTCCAAATCCATTCAGCCAGAGCCCAATCAATTGCTGAGTGGGTGCAACTTCTGAGCATGGTCAATACGGACCTGGTCGAGATGGTTTCTGATGTTGCCGCTTTTCATTCGACGGACACTGTAGGTGGAACTGGGTACCCAACGGAAAGCGAAGGAGCCCAGCTAGACGAGAGCCTTCGAAGTTCAGAGTGTTCACTATGGTAGGTCAAGACTGGGACGGACGTGTATGGTCCTGCTTGAAGTGCAGTTTCTCACCAGGATCGTGGAACCTCTGCGGGAAGCTTCGCCACGCGAGATGCTCGGGCTGGTAGCGCAGGTCTGTTTTCGATATTCTCTCCCCCGAGGCTCATCCAAATATGCGGGCCTCCATTGACATTTGTGGTCTTCGATTTCCCGAATCTGCACGCGTGCAGATGAGCGGCCAGCTCTGGCGGATCAAGTGCGCGAATCTGGGCCATGTAATGCCGCAGGGGGGGATGCGCCTGAACAAATTGGTGGCCCCGTGGCATGGCGGCATGAGGCAGGCAGCGGGCTGTCTGCTGGGGATGCTCGATAACTCCTGGGCCGCCCGAACCAGGCACCACGACCTGACCGCCCGGCAAACCCGTTCGGCCTCCGGTGGTGGCGCAGCCGAGGGCACGCGCGAGGCGCATGTTGTAAAGGCGCCGCGTGCCTTGCCTTGCTGTCGCTAATGCGGTGCCGCAGCCGTTCCTCATATCTCGTCCTCTCTCTCTCTCTCTCTTTGCTCCGAGCCAGGCTCTTCGTCATCGAGCGGGTAGGGTTGCCTCCTGCTCATGGTGTTATCTCTTTCTCCTCGTCCTTGTCCTCCTCCGCCTCCATTCCTCCTATTCCTCTTTGACGGGCGGGGCGGGCTGAGGCAAGGAGGGTGACAGGGCAGCAGAACGGGCCAGATGGGCAGGCCGACGAGAAGGAAGAGCTGGCCGTCAACTTCGCCAGCCCCTCGGCCGTGCCCTGATCTACGGATGGTGGCGTCGTCGCGAGCTGCCCGAAGGAAACGAGGAGGCCCCAGAATTTTCCAGGACACCGTGGGACGCCTTGAAGCCTCCCGGAATCCTCCTTCCCGTCTGCTATTCCCTCCTGCCGTCCCAACCCCCCGACCCTGCGGGTACATCGGGATCTTGGTCATGCCCGCACGACCCTGGAGTGAGGGGCATACGGAGGGGACGCGCAACTCCGCGAACTCCGTTGGGTGTCCGGCAGCCAGCCGAGAATATTACACTTCGCGGAGGAGGAGGACGAGGTCGATGAGGAGGATGGGGTAGGAGCATAGGTAAGAGAACAGGGGGATGTCGAGGGCGACGAGGTTGAAGCTTTCAATCGGGGTGCTGCGAGGGAGGGGCGGCTGTGAAGGCGGCTTCCCCATCATCGCCGTCGGAGGGACGAGAGGGCGCAGGAGCAGGGCTAGGGCTGCAATTGGCAGTAGCACCTGGGTCGCGACCAGGACTCGGATGGAGCTGCGTTGTATTCGCAACAGGTGTCTCAGTTTTACGTTGGGGTCTCTTGAGGAGCATGTCCCCCCCCTCTGCGAGGCCGTCCTCTAGTGCACGCGCGAGGCCTGGAGAGTTTCTCCATGCCGCTGGAGGGTTCCTCCAGACTGCTACGGAGCCCTGCTCTTGCAGAGGAGAGCCGCATCCGCGTCGCCGTCGCCGCCACCTGGGACCACGGCGGACAAGCCAATGGGTTCACTGGGGGGGGCTGGCCACGAGGCGGCATGTAAGGATACGACAGGTGTCGCGGCGTCTCGGCGCATCCGCGGTGCGGGCGCGGACGTTAAGACTGGTTGGAGGCCCGAACAGCCCCTGAGGACGCCCGACAGCGGATATCGTTCAACGTTCAGAGGTTTGCGCGGTGACCGCCAGCGTCGTCATGACAGGAATGTGCCGCATGGTCCAAGAGCCTCCTAGAAGCCCAGAGTCGCTTGAGAACCCGGAAGAACCTAACATCCGTCACGAGCAATAGCAACATAGATTCTTTCTTTTCATCATCAGCGTTCCCCTCCTTTCCTTCCTCCTTCGCCTGCCTCCTCCATTGTTGTGGCGTGGATGTGTTTTGTGTTCAAGATGCCAAGTTTTCCGGTTTCTGATGTCCCCGCACTGCGCTCGAGCTGCCTGGCGGTTCCGGTTGGCCTCCGCCGCTGGTTTCCGATTGTCCCAGGCGGAAAGGGCAACGGACAGGCGAAGGAGGGGGGTGGGGACGGGGGGTGGGGCAGGAGATGGTAGGAAGGGGAGGAGGAGGAGGTTGGGTGGAGGCTGGGAGGAGGTTAGAGGGGGCAGGTGGGGACAGACGAGGTTCGGGGGAGGAGGGAGGAGGGACCAAAATAAATTCAAACTGCACCAGCGACGCTGCAATACCTCCTCCCGCTCACAGTCCCCCCTCGTCATGAGTCCTTACAGGCCTTCACGGATTACTGCAAGAAGCGCCCCCTTGAAGGACCAGCACCCTACGTACCCGCCATTCCGGCGAGAGCCCCGTTTGAAAAAGGAATTGATCGTAATTTTATTTCGTTTGATAAGCAACCCAGGTATGGTCGTACAGCTCAGCGCGCTGTCCAAGAATGTCCACATGTGAAATCGACCCCCACACGCATGCCCTTGTTGCGCAAGTCTGCGCTCCTGGCCGTGCACGTCGAGGAGGTGCCCGAGCGGGAGCCCCAGGACGAGAGGGAGCTGCCCTCCGTCCGTGCAGCCGTCGCCCGGCCGCCCGCGCCAGGGGCGCCGTCAGGCGAGAGCCCCCGTTCGGAGAGCGCGCCGCCCTCCGCCCGTCCGCGACCGCCGTGCACCCTTTGGACGACTGCGCACGCGGTGCAGAGGGCGGGAGCCCCGCTCTGGAGAGCAGGAGCCGCCTGCTGCACGCTTGCGTCGCGCGGGTGCGGGAGGCGGCATTCCCCAGAAGAGAGTGCCCCCTCCATCCCGGTGGCGGCTGCACCGTTTCGAGACGAGCGTGCGCGGCGCGAGCGTGAGATGCACGTGTTGAAAGTTGCCCCTGCGATGTGTCTAGTTGTGGAGGGAGTTTGTTGCGGCGAGTATTCGCGGCGCTGAGGCGAACGTCGTAATTTGACAGCCACCTGTGCTCTGGCCTTTTAGCTGCTGCAAGTTCTCAGAAAGGCAAACGTGCGCGGCGCTGAGGCAGGTTAGTCATTTTGAAAGCCACCCTTCCATCCGTGTAGTACTTGTCCGTTGCAAATGTCAGGGTCATAGGTGGTAAGTGTCAGGCGAAGCGTCTGGCACGCCCTCCGACAGGGAGGAGTTACCTGTAAGGAAAAGGATGGGTAGGCGTTCGGATGGTGGAGTGAGGAGGGGGTGAATACGGGAACTGAGGACAAGGTCATTATGAGGATGAGGGAGGGCAGAAAGAGGAGGCAAACGAATAGAAAGAGGAGTTTTGTGGGAAGACCAGGGAGAGAAGAAGCGGTAGGATAAGGAAGGGGGTGTTGGGAACTGGGGGGATAAGAGTGAGTGGAGCAGGAAAAGGAGAAAACTCATGAGAAGAAGGAGGGGAACGAGGAGGAGGAGGAGGAGGAGGAGGAGGAGGAGGGGAAGGAGGAGGAGGTAACTGGAAGGAGACAAAGGAGGAGCAGGAGAGGGGGAAGGGCGGAAGGGTCTGGGAGGAGGAAGAGGGCGATGCTTGCGGAGAGTCTTGGGATGAGGCCTGGAGGAGGGGGACGAGGAGCGGGGGTGGAGGGGGGAGCGGCGCCCCCCCTCCCATACCGAGGTCGGCGCGCTCATTGACCTCAACCTGAGCCTGCCGCCAGACCCAGAGGCGCCCCTCGCGGGGGCGCGCTCCCTCGGGGCCATCGCCCGCCGGGGCCCTCGGGCGAGCAGTCGGAGGGGCGGCCGGCGCCACGCTCCTCCCAATGAGCTGTGAGGTGTCGGCAGGCCTGTGTCGTCGGGTGGCTGTGGCTCGTCGTGCTCCCCTCCTTCACAGGTCTCCGCCAGGGAGGGGGGGCGGAGAATGTGTCTCGTCAGGTGGACGGGGGAGACGGGGGTGAGCGACAACACGGCTGAGCGACAGAGGAACAGCGACGACACACACTGCTCCTCCTCCTCCTCCTCCTCCTCCTCCTCCTCCTCCTCCTCCTCCTCCTCCTCCTCCTCCTCCTCCTCCTCCTCCTCCTAGCCATTTTGGCCCAAGATGCCTTCGTCCCTCGGGCAGAGAACGGATACCTCTGATCCGATCCGAGGCTAGACCAGAGAGGATTATGTGAGCTCCTGGCGGGGCGACGTCCACCGCATCCACCTCCGCACCAGCTGGCGCGGGTAAACTCAGGCATTTCCAGTTCCTGCGCGGGCCAGTGTACCCTGCAGCGACATGGCGGAGTCTGACCTTGGTCGTGCTGCTGCTGATGGCTGCGAGGGCTCCAACGGCGGGCGCTCAGGTGGTCGCTCCGTGCTCTCCCCCACCTCGGAGAGCCAGCGCCGCTCTGACGAGAGCCTCCGAGCGCCGCAGGGCCAAGCAGAAGGCGAGGGAAGCCGACCGTCGACGTGCTGCTGCACTGGTGGGCCCTTCAGCGCGTGCTGCTGGCCGTCGGGGTGCTCGTCATCGCAGTGCTTCGCAGTTCGCCAGCGGGCGGCCGATGCATCCTTCGAGATGGAACGTGGTGGCGTGGACCTGGAAAGGGTCCCAACCTTCCCCGCGCAGCCGACCCCGCCGACGGCCATGGGTGGCTCTGCCTCTGCCGGGGCTGCCCCAGGTGGTCGCCCAGGATCCAGCAGTGGTGGTGCAGGAGTCGACCCATGGCGCTCCTGCCTGGACGAGCGCGAGAGGGGTGGACCCCCCCCCCCTCCCTGGCACCTACTCTTCTCGCTGACGCATGTGTGGCTGAGGACGGCTACGTGGTGGAGGCCGAGCCGCTGGGCCGCTGGTGGAGGCCGAGCCGCTGGGCCTGCTTCAGAGGCGTTTCCGAGCTGGGGGCTTGCCGCGCTGGAGAAGATCCTCGGATGCATGCGCATCGGCCGTGGAGAGTGGCGCGAGCTTCGATCCGATAGGCCTGCGGCACCGTCGGTGCAGATCAGCGCCAGCCAAGCATGTTGCGCATGATATACTCCCCAAGCGTCTGGCGCTGGCTCTCGGCAGGGTAGTCGGGGCCGACAGGAAGATCTTCGTGGACAAGCTGTCTCAGTCGCTCAGCATCTCGTGGAGGGCTTTCCTGCGGATCTCGATCGCCAGCCCCAACACCACGCCCCAGGTCCACTGGTCGTCGGCTGCGCTGCAGGGGCGCGGCCTCGACCGCGCAGATCTTGAGCCGACGGCGGTGGACCCACGTGTTCTCATGCCTGTTTTGCGTTCGGCACCCATGTGCTTTTACGCGCTCCCGCACCCCAGACCCACATGGGCATCCTGGGGCGCCGAAGCCCTCCAAATTCTGCAAACCAAGCGTTCCGATGGAGACATCCTCGAGCTTTCTTCGCGCAGGACGCGCCATCCTCGAGCGGGCATTCACAGCACATGATTCGGTCATTTCTGCCGAGTTCTGCTGCCTCCAGACCTCGCAATTTATCGCGGAGGCTGTGCAAAACGCTTTTGCGTCCTTCATTTGGACGATCCGCCTCGGCACGTCGTCTGCGAATGCGGGCTTTTGAACAGCGTGGTGCCGATGCGGCCGAGGGCGTCGAGAGAACTCGGCAGGGTCGCGGAGAGAGCCACCCGTCGCCCGGCAGCAGGACCCCCCGCGATCTCCATGACCTGCGAGGCGGCTGGTACAAGGGCTCCCCCGAGGGCGCGAAGTTATTCGCGCTTCGCGGTCCTCGTTCCTTCTCCCCCTCCTCCTCGTCCTCCTATTCTCCCTTTGGGAGGGCGGCGCGAGAGCGCGAAGTTATTCGCGCTTCGCGCAGCGCGAAGCGCGAAGTTGGGAGCCCTTGCTGGTACGTGTCACGGTACGTGTCTCGGGTCGGGCGAAAGGGGGGGATAGCAAAGGGGGGGTTTGAGAATCACCTCACGTAGCTGATTTTCCCGGCGCCTCCCGGCGCTGGGAGGCGGCCATGTATCGAGGAATGGCCCCCTCGGTGAGGCCGAAACCAGCTGCATGCAGCAAATTTCGTAACCCCCCCTTTCCCAATCCCCCCCTTTCGCCCGGCCCGAGTGTCACCAACGGCGGTGTGGGCCGGTGACCTGGCGGGGCCCGCGGAGGGCTGAAGGCGCAAATGCCAAAATGCTTCGAAAAACCATTCTCTGGAAAAGCAATGATTTGGGCCATTTCGGGCCTTCCTGGAGGACGTCTGGGATGCCTCTTGGGCCGTCTTGGAGGCCTCTTGCGGGCCTTTTGGGCCGTCGTAGACCATCTTGAGGCCATCTTGGGCCGTCTTGGGTGCATCTTGGAGCCATCTTAGCCGTCTTTTAGGCCATCTTGGCTGTCTTGGGGGCATCTTGGAGGCCATCCTGGGCCATCTTGGCCGTCTTGGAGGCCATGTTGGGCCATCTTGGGGCAGCAAAGGCGACGACGGAGCGATTTTCCGGATGGCCAGCGGGACGCGCCGGAGCCCCAGGGGGAGTTCTTTTGGAGAGAGAACCAACATCAAAACCGAAATAGTTTAGCACGCCAGGCACGCCTGCGATGAATCGACAGGGGGCGGCGGATCTAATGTCCTTCGGCCCATCCCGCCACTGTGCCTGGGTTGAGGGGCGTAGGCCTCTAGGATGCGCGTTGGGATGTCGCGGGAGGCCTTTCGGGGGCCTCTTTGGGGCCGTGTTGGGGTATTTTGGGAGGCGCTTGGGGGTCTCTTAGAACGTCTTCGCGGCCTCTTGGAGGTCTCGTGGGGCCTCTTGGGGGCCTCCCACGGCTTCCTTGCGGCCTCCTGGGGGCCTCTTGGGGCGGAAGACGGAACTGTTGGGCCCTTGTGGGGTTGTCTTTGGGCCCTTTTGGGCCGTCTTGGCCTCTCGGGCCGTCTCGGGGCGGTCCCTGGGGCCTTTTGGGCCGTCTTGGAGCGTCGGGGGCTCGGAAAGTCGAGGGCCCATAGGCCGTCTTGGGGCTATCCTTGGCGTCTTGGAGCGATCTTTAGGCGTCTCGGGGCCCGCTTGGGCCGTCTTGGGGGGGCCCCAGGACAGATGATGCAGAGTGGGGGGTCCCTAAGAACCGATGCACAGGAGCTCGAGGAGGCTGGGGATGTTGGGCGTGTTGGGGGGGCCTATTGTGGCTCTCTTGGCCTGTGTCGTGGCCCTCTTGGCCAGAAAAAAACGCATGCGACAAGACGAGCTGGAGCCGGGGGGGGGCGCGGCAAGCCCTGGGAGAATCGTGAATTGGGACTCCAGGCCCCTTGAAGACCTATCAGGAGTGCATAAGGGATTAGGCAAAGGACCTAAGGACTCGCACACTCCGCGCCCTGTGTCACGGTGGCGGATTTGGCGATGATCCAGCGGCAAAGAAAGCCGATGCGGAATGTCTATTTCGCGCCCTGGCCCTCCATCGAGGACAGAAGCCGACGACGTTCCGCAGCGGCCAGCTAACCTCTCTGTCCCCACGGATGCCGCAGGGAGAGATGAGGAAGAGGCAGCAGGATACCTACAGTGGAAGCCCATGCCAAGAACACCTGCTTGCCTCCAGGGTGCTCTCAGGTTCTTGGGTTTCAGTGGCTTCTCAATGGAAACACTCTCCGCAGTTTGGGCACGTGCCCATGGACCTCGCGCCGACGATTGCGGCGACGACGACTACCACCACCACCACGATTGCAACTACCAGCGCGAGTGGGCGCGACAACGGGAGTGCGAGGGGATGCGGTCGAGGGATTCGTGTTGCTTCTTGAATGACTTTCCAGGGGGATTGGAGCGAGGTGTTCGACGGGGGCGTGGCGCCGCGTGATGGCGGCGCGCGCGGCGTGGACTCCTCGCCTGTGGACCACCCGCTCCTTTTATCGTGGGTTATCTCGTGCCTGGGCTGGGGCGGTGGATTCAGTTTCGCTCGCGCCCCTCTTCGGGTATCCTCCCCCCCCCCCACCGGTGACGACCATCACGGGCGTTGCCAGTGAGGGCCGCCATGAGGCCTCACGCCCTCCGCAGCTTCCACCATGGGGGCTGCGGGGTCAACCCCCCGCGATCTTAGCACCGACGACGGACGTCGAGGACCGCGACTTCGGCGACGACAACGACAACGACTGGAGCTACCAGTACGTAGATGCACGAGTGCGGGTGCGCACGCGCGTGGGACTTGTGCCGCCTCTCAAAGGGGTGCCCCGAGGGGATAGAAGCGAGCCGCGAGGTTGCGTCGGGCGCGGCGTGACTCCCGCCTGTGGGCCGCCCGCTCCTTTTTATTATGGTTTCTCTCGTGATTTGGCTTGGGCGGTGGATTTAGTTTCCCTCGCTGCCCTTCTCGCGTGTTCCTCCTCCCCCCAACCGCCGGTGACGACCATCACAGGCGTTGCCAGTGAGGGCCGCCATGAGCCCCCACACCCTCCGCAGCTCCCATCATAGGGGCCGCGGGGGGCAAACCCCCGCGAACCCGGCGCCGCGCGTGCAGTGCCAAGGGCAGCGGCCCGTGGCCCCATCCTACCGTCATGGGGTAATGCGAAGTCCTTGAAGACGGGGCGGGGTGGGCACGAGCGGGCATCATAGCTGGCTCAAAACCAACAGAGGCAACATAGCATCATCCATCGGATTGATCTACTCACGGATCCAATGCGAAATGTTCTCACTGAATTCTTTCCATGTGTAGCACGCTCACCCCCAGTTATCATGGAGGCCCGTCTGAAGTAGTTGATGGCCTTGAGGGCATGTCGGTTTTGCTTCACCACGCTCGAGGAAACACGTGTTCTGAGCTCAGCTTCGAGCGCCTCGATGGCGTCGCGAGCAATATGCCCCTCAATGAGTGCAAGGGAACTGATGTTCTAAGCCAAGCTGACATTCAGGAGTTCCTTTTGGAGGGCCCCGTTTGCTTT